AGAGAAATATCGCAAACAAGGTACCAGGTCGAAATGGTTCATGCTGGGGAGTTTGCGAAAGGTAGCTAGGACAACAAAAATATTCTGCACAGTTTTAAAACTCAGGAGCCAATATTCTAGGTCATCCTGGACCTGCTGACACACATAGACACAAACACTGGTTTCTAGCGGGATCAATTAGTCATATACTGGGGGCGCTAAAATCAGTCAGACAGGATGTAAATGGAACTAGTCAGATGGGAGGGCTTAGAAAGGGGAGGACTTAGAAGAGGGAGTCCCCAGGTCCAGTGGGACCTAGATATAGACACAACCCCAGATATGGGGACGGAAGGGATGTGAGGGGAGTGGTTCCCAGCCTTGGAGAGAAGACTCAGTCATTGGGCCTGGAGTCGGGAGTGTCAGGGCAGTGGGGGCAGGTATCTGGGGGTGATCCCAAGAAACTAGGGGTGGTGGAGGCTGCTCTGGCTTCGCGACGAGAAGCCGAATCACAGGGGTAGCTGTCACCCGTGATTGTTGCACGTTCCCGGCCTGGGCTCCCGTACCCTCCAAGGTGACGGTGTCCAGCTCTCGCTGGGAGTGCTCAGTCGCTGCCGTCGCCGTCTTGCCGTCTGCCTCCCCCGATGACCCGCCACCCGTCGCCGCCTCCTCTTTCATCTCCACATCCTGGGGGGCCGGGGGTGGTGGTGGTTCTTGTTCCCCTCCGCCCGGCGGCGGTTTCGCCTTGTCCGCGCCGCGGCGCCGCGCCGAGCCCTCCTGCTTCATGGCACCCGGGGTCGCGGCCTAGTCCGGGGACCAAGGCCAGGGCCTCGCGTGAACCCTCGCACCGGGGACCAGGAACCGACCCGGGCCTGCACACGAGCGCGGGCTACCGTCGGGCCGCACGATGACGGAGCAGCTACAAACCCCTTCCCGGCGCTGGGCCTTCTGGGAAACGCCAGGCCCGCCAGGCCGATGGCCGAGTTAACAAAGGGAAAATAAATCAACAGCCGAGGTGCAGGATGGAGGCGGAGCTTCGAGGAAGGAGCTGGGAGGAGCCTGTATGTGTTCTTGGTGGAGGGGGGAGGCTTTCTTTCGAGCGCTTAAATGTGATGCTTTTATGTTCCTCACAGACTGCATTTCTGTCCGCTTCCACGAGAGGTCACCTTGGGCTCCAATCTGGGTTACAAAGGACTTTAAGAGCCCCTCAACCAGCGTGGAGTAGGTACAGCCTATCCGAGCGCGGGGCGAGATGACGTCACGAGTTGCCGGGCGGGTTTTGCGCTCAAGTTTGCTCAGTTTTCCGCGGTCGGCCGTCTCCTTCCAGATCCGCGAGGTTTGATTTCTACGGCTGCCGGGTGCCTGCGGCTGGAGGGAGGGAAAGAAGGCTGCGAAGGAAGGACGTGAAGCTAGGGGCTGTTGGGCTTAAAATAAACCGAACTGGAGAGTAGAAAGAACCCTATGGGATCCGGACTTCCTTGGCTAGATTTTAGTTTACTGCTGAAGATAAGGCATACAATTTCTGCAGGCTGGGAGTGCCGATAGGTGGGAGCGTACAATTGCGTAGAATCACTCCAGTTTAATTAAATATGGGGGTCTACCCTATGCACGGCCCAGGACTAGCACACGGGGTGAAAAACAGCTCAAGAATGTAGTGTACCGGGAGTCAGATTGTTAAATAACCAGACACTGTGCTCTGGGCTGCGGTGGATTGGGAGGGTTAAGGAAAGAGGGTGGGAGCCCCTACTGGCAGGCAGGCGCTTTAGGGAGCCCATTGAGAGGACTTTTATACGTCCAGACTGACATTGCTGACATTGTGAAATGGGGGACAGAATAATGGTGTGCCTAAGGAGAGAATGATGGTTTACCCAGTGGTGTACCTAAGGGAAAGCAAATTGGACCAGAAATCCTACCCACTTATTTTTCAAAGGACTCGCCCACTGGTTCTGCAGGGAAGGTGAAACCAGGTGGAAAATTCAGGTCCTAGTTTCTTAGAACAGAAAACACAAACTCTCTGTCTTGAAACTTTTCTCTCTCCCATAAGTGGAAGTCCTGAGTTTTAGACCTTTGTCGGTCCCTACAAGACAATCTAGCCCTTGTAAGGACCCAGAACCCAGAAGGCAGGAAATATGTTTTGACCTCCTCCTCCTTTACATATATAAAAGATAGCCTACTTGTCTTTTTTTTTTTAAGATGGTGTTTCACCATGTTGGTCAGGCTGGTCTCAAACTCCTGACTTCAGGTGATCCACCTGCCTTGGCCTCCCAAAGTGCTGGGATTACAGGCGTGAGCCACCGCGCCCAGCCTCTTTTGTATCTTTCATAGGATTGCAGGATGTTCCTTGCATTAAACAGCCACTTGCTAACTGGAAAGATATGTGCTCTAGTTTGAGGGCACATGCCTTGACCAGTTCCTCCTCAACTGTCCTCTCACCGTCCAGGGCTGGAGAGGGATGGATAACAGGAGTTTTGAATCATCATTGGAATAAACTCATTAGAAACTCTTCTTCATAACACCGTATCTGCAACTGAAGGTGGGTGAGAATGTAAGGAAGAAAACAGATGAGTTTTGTTTATCCTTAACAATCAAAGGAGTTACTCTTCTGGATAGTTTGGGTGCTAGCTCACATCTATTAAGTTTACATCACACAGAGAAAACAACCAAGTCAGCACATAACAACCTGGTATATCCATGAGCAATAGAGTGAGGCTTTGGAAGGTGCCCAGGATCGGGGAGGATGGCGACATAACACAAAGCTTCTGGCAGTTGGTCATGAATTCTTGGTGGATGAGGGAACCAGCCTGGGCAGGGGGCAGCTAAGATGCTGGGGGAGAGTATGACTCCTGGGACCAAAATCCTTAGAGAAACTATTCCACTCATAAAACTTTTTTTTTTTTTTTTTTTTTTAACAGAATCTTGCTCTGTTGCCTAGGCTGGAGTGCAGTGGCATTATCTTGGCTCACTGCAACCTCCCACTCTGGGGTTCAAGCGATCCTCCTGTCTCTTCCTCCTGAGTAGCTGAGACTACAGGTGCGAGCCACCATGTCCAGCTATTTAAAAACTTTTTTTATTTTTTTATTTTTAGTAGAGACAGGGCTTCACCATGTTGGGTAGGCTGGTCTCGAATTCCCAAACTCAGGTGATCCGCAGACTCAGCCTTGCAAAGTGCTGGATTATAGGCATGAGCTGCACTCATAAACTACTTTTTAAAAAATTATTTTGCTGGGCGCAGTGGCTCACGCCTGTAATCCCAGCACTTTGGGAGGCTGAGGCGGGTGGATCACAAGGTCAAGAGATCGAGGCCATCCTGGTCAACATGGTGAAACCCCATCTCTACTAAAAATTAGCTGGGCATGGTGGCGTATGCCTGTAATCCCAGCTACTCAGGAGGCTGAGGCAGGAGAATTGCCTGAACCCAGGAGGCGGAGGTTGCAGTGAGCCGAGATTGCGCCATTGCACTCCAGCCTGGGTAACAAGAGCGAAACTCTGTTTAAAAAAAAAAAAAAAGTAATTTTACTTTTTGAGACAGGATCTTGCTCTGTCACCCAGGCTGGAGTGCAGTGGTACTATCTTGGCTAACTGCAGCCTTAGCCTTCCAGGCTCAAGTGATCCACCTCAGCCTCCCAAGTAGCTGGGACCACAGATACATGCCACCATGCCTGGCTAATTTTTTGCATATTTTATAGAGATGGGGTTTCACCATGTTGCCCAGGCTGGTGTCGAACTCCTGGATTCAAGCGATCTGCCCGCATTGGCCTCCCAAAGTGCTGGGATTGCAGGCGTGAGACACTGCGTGCGATCCTAAAACTGATTTAAAGAGGTTGGTAGGCCGGGTGCCTGTAATCTCAGCACTTTGGGACGCCGAGGCAGGTGGATTACCAGGTCAGGAGTTCAAGACCAGCCTGACCAACATGATGAACCCCTGTCTCTACTAAAAATACAAAAATTAGCGAACGTGGTGGTGCATGCCTATAATCCCAGCTACTTGGGAGGCTGAGGCCGAGAATTGCTTGAACTCAGGAGGCAGAGGTTACAGTGAGCTGAGATCTCGCCACTGCACTCCAGCCTGGGCAACAGAGCAAGACTCCATCTCAACAAAAAAAAAGGTTGGTGAAAGATGTTCAAACCCAGCTTTTAGGTGGAGGAGGAAGATATCAACCCAACAGTTTGATGAGACTGTAATATCCATATTAGTAGCAGGTCCATATGCAAAGCCTACCCACAGTACTTCCTCCTACAAGAACCCTAAATTTCAGGGCAGAACAGAGAACAGTGAAACAATATCACAATTTAGTTTTTAAGTTTTGGGTTAGTCTTATTCTTGGGTTACCCCCCCTCCTTTTTTAAAGGCCCATCTGCATTTTCTGTTCAATAAACTTGAAATTCATCTTATTTTTGTTTTGGGCTTCTACTACCTATCTCTGGGTCTTTCCCTCAACCTAGAGCTAGGGGACCCCCAAATGTTCTTCTTTGAAGACAAACTGCTTTGATATCTTCTCACTTTAGAATCTAAATTTCATTAAAGAAAACTAATTGAGGCCAGGCACGGTGGCTCACGACTATAATCCCAGCACTTTGGGAGGCCGAGACAGGCGGATCATGAGGTCAGCAGTTTGAGTCCAGCCTGATCAACATGGTGAAACCCTATCTCTACTAAAAATACAAAAATTAGCCAGATGTGGTGGCTTGCACCTATAATCTCAGCTACTCAGGAGGCTGAGGCAGGAGAATTGCTTGAACTTGGGAGGCGGAGGTTGCAGTGAGCCGAGATCGTGCCTCTGCACGCCAGCCTGGGTGACAGAGTGAGACTCTGTCTCAAAAAAAGAGAAAGAAAACTAATTGAACAGAAAAAAAAATAATAATCTAGATTCCCCACTGTATACCCTGTGAGCATTTTCCAGCTAGCCTGAGGACGGTGTAGAGTATTCAAGTACATATGATCTGTGCACAGTACAACAATCATTTCTTTTTCTGGCACAAATTAAGAATTTCTATATGATCAGTTCTTTAAAGAAAAACACCAGAAGACATATCATCCTAAGATTGACATAATATTTTCCATTAATTCCAGTAAAACTTGTTGTTTTTTTTTTTTTTGAAGTATAAGTAGGCGGGATTAGGATAGAAAATTAATTGATCTTTGTTTTCGGTAATGCTGAAACGGCTCATAGTTTTGAAAGTTGAGTGCTTCTTCTAGAAAATTTAAGCATCAGCAGTTGGGCTAATGGGTTGCAGAGCTGGAGGAGTAGGGGGTGATAGATGGTTGGGCAGGTGGATATTGGTTATTCTGGGTGAACAGCTAAGATTTCAGTTGTCTTCCGCTGATGGCTCTGAAATGCCCTTAAGGACACAGCACCATGAGATTGGGAAGGCATTAGGGAAGCATAAGGCAAATGGAAAGGGCAAATTAGGAGGCCTTGCTCAGCTGCTGAAGCAGGGAGAGGCTGGCATAAAGAGCACAGAGGCGAGGGAGGGTGTCTGGGTCCCACATGTACTGGGGGCCCGATCTCTGCACTTCCAGGCCGCTCAGCCCAACTAGGGCCTCCGTGAGAGTCAGCTCCTCGTCCCCAAGGGAGGAGAGCAGCTCGGGTTGCAGGGGGAAGACACCGTCTTTATCCTGCAGGAAGTTCTGTTCCATCGTGCTCTCCACCTGGAGGGAACCAAAACAGCATGAAAAGAAAAGAACTGGAAACCTCTCTCCTTCTAACTCACAGAAATCCCAAGAAGGTTACATTTCCCCTTATTAGAATCCCTTACTTTACCTTACATTACAACCCCATCTGGGTCAGGGCAGCACGTTTTATAGCCCCATTTTACAGAGGAACAAATCGAGACAGACTTAGATACATTAAAAATTTGCTCACGGCTGGGCATGGTGGATCACGCCTGTAATCCCAGCACTCTGGGAGGCCGAGGTGGGTGGATCACCTGAGGTTGGATGTTTGAGCAACCTGACCAACATGGAGAAACCCCATCTCTACTAAAAATACAAAATTAGCTGGGTGTGGTGGCACATGGCTGTAATCTCAGCTACTTGGGAGGCTGAGGCAGGAGAATCGCTTGAATCCGGGAGGTGGAGGTTGTGGTGAGCTGAGATCGCACCATTGCACTCCAGCCTGGGAAACAATAGAAAGAGCAAAACTCCTTCTCAAAAACAAACAAACAAAAATTGCTCACAACATTTGGCTATGAATAAGCAAGGCCACAGTTTCTGTCTGTTCTCCCAAGATCAGGCTGATAAACCCAGATCATTGCCCAGAAATTCAGTCTTCTAGTGCTTGTTGTGAAATAACAAGAAGAAATATAGAGAGAAAGGAGGAGTGAGCATAAGCCCCTGGGATAAGTCGAGGGTCCTCCAGAATGGCTCCATCCTTAGGGGAAATCACATCTCCGTGGGCTCCAGCTACTCCCAGACTCTCCCCAGCATCTGCTGTTTTTCTCTCACCAGCTTTAGCTGCACGGGTAGGATCTTTTTCTCCATAGATTTTACCAGCAGCTTCTGTTGGGCTTCACTTAGCTCTGGAGAAACAAAAACAAAAACAAAAACAGAGAAAGATATGTGTCACTGGTGCAGAGGGGACTACAGACTCCAAAGAGTGCACTTCCAGAATTTCAGCATTCATTCATTGTATGTAATTACAATACAGGTGTTAAGGGAGCCATAGCTGAGGGGTCCACTTTGGTCTTGGAGTTGGCAAGGTCTTGGAGGGCAGGCTTCTTTTTTTTTTTTTTTTTTTTTTTTTTGAGACGGAGTTTCGCTCTTGTTACCCAGGCTGGAGTGCAATGGCACCATCTCGGCTCACCGCAACCTCCGCCTCCTGGATTCAGGCAATTCTCCTGCCTCAGCCTCCTGAGCAGCTGGGATTACAGGCACACGCCACCATGCCCAGCTGATTTTTTGTATTTTTAGTAGAGACGGGGTTTCACCATGTCGACCAGGATGGTCTCGAACTCTCGACCTCGTGATCCACCCGCCTCGGCCTCCCAAAGTGCTGGGATTACAGGCTTGAGCCACCGTGCCCGGCAGAGGGCAGGCTTCTTAAGGGAACAAACATTTCAGCTTACATCTGAAGGATCACAGAGTTTTGTTTTTTTTTTTTTTTTTTGAGACAAGAGTCTTGCTCTGTCACCCAGGCTGGAGTGCAATGGCGCTATCTTGGCTCATTGCAACCTCCACCTCCCAGGTTCAATCAATTTTCCTGTCTCAGCCTCCTGAGCAGCTGGGATTACAGGCATGTGCCACCACACCCAGTTAATTTTTGTATTTTTAGTAGAGATGTGGTTTCACCATGTTGGTCAGGCTGGTCTTGAACTCCTGACCTCGTGATCTACCCGCCTTGGCCTCCTAAAGTGCTGAGGTTACAGGCATAAGCCACCGCACCCAGCCGGATCACAGAGTTTTTCTAAGTGAAAAACTAGAAAATGTGGAGGGAAGAAGCGCTTTTAGGATCAAGATCAGAAAATGTTACTCCCTGAAATTAAATCTAACAGGTATCATGATAGAAGTGATGAGCTTAGCTATATGCAGAAATTTTAAATATGTGGCTGATAAAACTAGGATTATTCAACCTCTATTAGCAAGACTAGGCTCTCTTTTCAGACCATCCAGCGTGACCAAGTGAATACTTAGGAATGAAACCAATTTTTTTTTTTTTTTTTTTTTTTTTTTTTTTAGACGGAGTCTTACTCTGCTGCCAGGCTGGAGTTCAGTGGTGTGATCTCAGCTCACTGCAACCTCTGCCTCCTGGATTCAAGTGATTCGTGTGCCTCAGCTTCCCAAGTAGCTGAGATTACAGGCATGTGCCACCATACGTAGGTAATTTTTGTATTTAAATTTAAAGTAGAGATGGGGTTTCACCATGTTGGCCAGGATGGTCTCGATCTCCTGACCTTGTGATCCCCCTGCCTCGGCCTCCGAAAGTGCTGGGATTACAGGCATGAGCCACCGTGCCTGGCCCCAATTTTTTCTTGACGGAACCTCACTTTATTGCCCAGGCTGGGGTGCAGTGGAATAATCTCGGCTCACTGCAACCTACCCCTCCTGGGTTCAAGCAATTCTCCCACCTCAGCCTTCCAAGTAGCTGGGATTATAGGCACTGACCACCACACCGGGCTAATTTGTGTATTTTTAATAGAGATAGGGTTTCACCATTTTGGCCAGGCTGGTCTTGAACTCTTGACCTCAGATGATCCACCTGCTTCAGCCTCCCAAAGTGCTGGGATTATAGATGTGAGCCACCATGCCTGGCCATGAAACGAATTTATTAAAATGTAGGTATAAACTACTTAACTATGGTATAATTTGTCATTCATTCATTTATTTATTCATCCATTTGGGAATTGATCCAAGTGACTCATTCCTATCACTGAAAAGGTCTATAAATGAAGACCTTATTCCCCACTTACCTGTTAGGGCTCCAACAAAATAGAGGATGGCACCCACGGCCTCCTTTGATAGCAGGACATCTCCTGGGAGTGCCTCCAGGGTCACTTCATGTCCCTTGTCTAGAGCCCCTTCAAGCTGTGGGGGAAGGTGGGCGACTATTGAAGATAACATAGGAAAGGTCCCAACCCAGGGCCCAGCACGTAATAATCCACTGACAGGCGTGAACTCTCTCCCATTTCCCCATGTCTTTTTCAAGGCCTCAAGTCCTGGAGAGTACTGGACTCCTGGGTTCCCTGGTCCCTGAGTTTTCGACTCTGGAAAGGGAAGGTTCCAGCCCCTCCCGCAGACAGCCCTCTGGCCTGCCTCCTACCCTCTGGCCATCAGAGGGAGCATGTTTGCCCTTTCCCAGGGAAAAAAAAAAGGAAGGAGCAGTGGGCTGACAGCCGGAGGGCACGTGGCCGGCCTTGGGGAAGGATCTACGATGGACTCCCCTGGCCACTGGCCACCTCCTGCCACTGTCAGATCTCCCCACCTGCTGCAATACCCGCCCCCACCAAACCTTTACCAAAATGTGCCTTCGCCCACCCTTCCCCACTTCCACTGGGTCCTCACCGCCAGCTCGAGGTCTTGTAACTCCTTTTTCTTCCCTAGAAGTTTGTTGAGGGAGCTGAGCAGGGAGCTTTGGCCGACTCGGCTCAGCTTCTCCACCTGTTGGGTCTCTCTCTGAACTTCTTCTTTTAGTGTCCTGAAGCCTTCATGTACATCCCCTGTGGGGACAGTAATGGGGCACACAGCCCTCCAGTAAGCATTCTCCCTGCAGGGCTCCCACGCTCACCCCCTTTAGGTTCCCATGCCCTACCCCCCAGCTTGAGCCTGGCCCCTTTTTTCTTTACCAAGGAATGTGGTTGCAGGGGTATCCGCCAGCCCCGGCCTGAGGGTTGGGCGAGAAGGTGGACCAGGACTCATGCTGTCATCTAACCCAACAGTGAATTTTCCCGATATCCCAGGCCACATCCCACATCAGTACACAATTGACTTCTCTTTCTCTAAGATTCCAGCCAAAAGTAGAGAAAGAAGGTCTGTATTCCCTTCTCATGAGTTAGTTGACAAAGAAGAATGACTTGGCCTTCTCCTCTCTCTACCCTAATGCTACCTCCATGCCAAAGTCTTGAGAGAAACAAAGTTGCTTACCAGCATCGGATGCCTGGATAACTGAGAAAATAAGAAAAAAAAAAAAAAAAAAAGATAAGAATGCAGTCCTTCAGAATGGCAGCCATACCAGGGGATGAGACACTAAGGAAGATGAGGAAATACATCCTGCCTGTCTCCTGGGAGATCCCAGCCACCTCGTTCCTGGTGTTACTGTGACTCAGTGGCTTTGGCCCCAGGTGCTGGGTGACCGAGGTGCATATGTGTGTGTAGCAGGTTATAGCTACTAAGACTCTTAAAAAAAATTTTTTTTTTTTTGAGACAGAGTCTTGCTCTGTCATCCAGGCTGGAGTGCAGTGGTGCAGTCTTGGCTCACTGCAACCTCTGCTCCCAGGTTGAAGGGATTCTTTTGCCTCAGCCTCCTGAGTAACTGGGACTACAGGCATGTGCCACCATACTCAACTAATGGGGGTTTCACCATGTTGGCCAGGCTGGTCTTGAACTCCTGACCTTGTGATCTGGTCATCTTGGCCTCCCAAAGTACTGGGATTACAGGTGTGAGCCACTGCATCTGGCCAAAATTTTTTTTTTTTTTTTTTTTTTGAGGCGGAGTTTCACTCTTGTTACCCAGGCTGGAGTCCAATGGCGCGATCTCGGCTCACCACAACCTCCGCCTCCTGGGTTCAGGCAATTCTCCTGCCTCAGCCTCCTGAGTAGCTGGGATTACAGGCACGCGCCACCATGCCCAGCTAATTTTTTGTATTTTTAGTAGAGACGGGGTTTCACCATGTTGACCAGGATGGTCTTGATCTCTGGACCTCGTGATCCACCCGCCTCGGCCTCCCAAAGTACTGGGATTACAGGTTTGAGCCACTGCGCCCGGCCATTTTTTTTTTTTTTTTTTAAGAAACATCTGCTTCAGTATTTTTTTTTTAACTCCAGGCACAGTGGCTCACACCTGAAATCCCAGCACTTTGGGAGTTCAAGGTGTGCAGATCACCTGAGGTCAGGAGTTTGAGACGAGCCTGACCAACATGGTGAAACCCCATCTCTACTAAAAATACAAAAAATTAGTGGGGCATGGTGGTAGGTGCCTGTAATTCCAGATACTTGGGAGTCTGAGGCAGGACAATTGCTTGAACCTGGGAGGCAGATGTTGCAGTGAGCCAAGAGCTCGCCATTGAACTCCAGTGTGGGCACAATTTTTTTTTTTTTTTTTTTTTTTAAATAGAGACAGGGTCTGGTCTCACTATGTTGCCCAGGCTGGTCTCGAATTCCTGAGCTCAAGGGATTCTCCTGCCTCAGCCTCCCAAAGTGCTGGGATTATAGGCGTGAGTCACTGTGCCTGGCTGCTACTAAGCCTCTTGAGGACAAAGGTTTCAGGCATCAGACCACCTGGGCATCTGGTCCAAAGACTCCCCCTTTCCACTGCTTTTTCCCAAGCTATTGGAATTTCTGCCATGTTTGGGGGACAATTATTTTCTGAGACTTGCTCTGCCATTTCCATCAGTCTCATGAGAAGGAAAGGAAAAGATTGGAGTTTTAAAATTCTGAGTCAAGAAAGTTTCAGTAGAATGAAAGAAAACACTTACGGATGACCTTCTCCTCTCCTGACTTTCCTGAAGACAGAAAATTGCACATCTGTCAGCACAAACCCATTTCTGCCTTTTCATCTGAAGCAGTTGTCAAGGCAGGTTTTTTTTTTTTAAATCAGTTATCATTATAAGAACACGTGGAGATGATGTTAGCTCATCCACCCCCGAAATTTGGGAACACACTTGTCTCCCAGCCTTATTCTGCTGCTGACTGTGCCTTCCGGTCTCTGTCGGTTTCTGCATCTCTCTGGGGCAGTATTTATACATATCTATCTCTCTTTCCTGAAGTTGAGGCTGGGTATTTTTAGGGACTTGGGAAACAAAAGCAGAGGCACCTTGGGGGATTATAGTATAAGCTAGGAGAGGGTGGAGGATTTTTAGCAGATAATGTCAGGGGTAGGGCAGAAGATGTGGGAAGCCCGTAAGGAATTTCACTTACCTCCAGGAGGGAAGGTTTGCATGCTATCGTTGCAGATATGTGGAATATCTGTGAAGGGCAAGAGGGAGGGCAGGGGGACTCTTACCAGCTGCCCCACAATTCCTTCTCCAGTCTCAAGCCAAAGGGCTCTGCTAAGTACTAAGACTTTGTGCCCCGAATGCTTAATCTAATTCCCTGCCTCAGCCTCCCTTGCTGGAAGTAATCTTTTCTTCCTTGATAAATTCTCTACTGTGATAACACTACTTTCTACCTTCCATTCAGTCTCTGTCTGTTTCCTCCTTTGGCCACCGACGTCTTGAGAGCAGAGGCGATGCCTGTTCATCTTTGTACCCCCTCCCCCAGTGACCACAGTGCCCAGCACCCAGGAGATGCTCAGAACCCAGGAGCCTCTTCACCCCTCTCTCCAGAGCAGCCTCCACGGCTGCAGTTGGATCACAGTACAACACACGCCCCTGCTCATTCTCTGACGTTTCCACAAGAGGGGACCAGGGTGCCTCAGTATTGGTGCAGGTAATTCTCGTCTTGCGGGGAGAACATGTGGGTCTCTGCTCACCCCACTCATCTTTGCCTTTGACCATCAGCTGTCTCACTCGAAAAGCCAGGACGCAGCCCTTGGGGATGGTTACAGCCTCCTTGTGGTTTACAGATCCCTAGAATTAGATGATGAGAGTTTGTGAATCTCTGGAGATCTTAAGTATGAGATATTGGGAGTGTGTGTTGGGGGAGATGCGGGGTCAGGGCTGACAGCCTTCAGGGAGATAAGTTGGAAGCCTTCAGTGGGGTCCCTGGTCTGCCTGGACTCTGAGGAAGGACTTCAAAGCCCTTGCCCTCATTTCTGCTGATTTTCCTTTTTTTTTTTTTAAATTGAGATGGAGTCTTGCTCTGTAGCCCAGGCTGGTGTGCAATGGCGCGATCTCGGCTCGCGGCAACCTCCGCCTCCTGGGTTCAGGCAATTCTCCTGCCTCAGCCTCCTGAGTAGCTGGGATTACAGGCACACGCCACCATGCCCAGCTAATTTTTTGTATTTTTAGTAGAGACGGGGTTTCACCATGTTGACCAGGATGGTCTCGATCTCTCGACCTCGTGATCCACCCGCCTCGGCCTCCCAAAGTGCTGGGATTACAGGCTTGAGCCACCACGCCCGGCCTTTTTTTTTTTTTTTTTTTTTAGATTGAGATGGAGTCTTGCTCTGTAGCCCAGGCTGGAGTGAGTGCAGTGGTGCCATCTTGGCTCACTGCAACCTCCGCCTCCGGGTTCAAGCCATTCTCCTGCCTCAGCCTCCCGAGTAGCTGAAACTACAGGTTTGCACCACCACACCGACTAATTTTTTGTATTTTTTTGTTAATCGGGGAAAGCGCGAATGCAGTCCCCCACTATCACAAATTATGCTCCAGTTTCACACATTTGGGGAGATTGCAGGGATCCGCACATCTGGAGTGCACAGCCTCGCCCTGGGAAAACCACCTTGGTGATCATGGTATCTCCCCTGCCAGGTAAGTATAATTTTTGTATGTTTAGTAGAGATGAGGTTTCACCATGTTGGCCAGGATGGTCTCGATCCCTTGACCTCGTGATCCACCTCAGCCTCCCAAAGTGCTGGGATTACAGACCTGAGCCATCGCGCCTGGCTCTGCTGATTTTCCCTCTAGCAACATGTATCTCTCTTCCTGCTTCAGATGCATGAAGGGAACCAGGCCAACCTGCTCCATCTCCTGCCTGCACATCACCCTAGAGCTTCCATCCAAGCCCTGGCTCCTTCTTCCTCTTTGTCATCTGCCCCATGCTTACCTCTTACAGGAAGCCTTCCATGACTAACCTCTATTCCCAGCTCCAAATCCCAAATCATCCCCTGAATATTTAGATGCAATAGGTAGAGGTATGTGGAGCATTCCTATTTCCACTGACTTTTCCAAGCCTGTGTTCTCTGGGCTTTAACCTCTGTGTCTCCTCTATGAGCCAGAGAACTTTCTGAGAGCAAGGATGTCTCCTCTTTGGATTGGGAGCACCATGAGGGAAAATCTATGAATGGGACTTTCCCCTTCCCCAGTAGTTCCCTGTGGCATCTGGCACAGGGATCTGCCCTCACTGGGTGCCAGTGACCAGGGAGGGAGCGTGTGTCTGGGGTTTGGATCTTGAAGAGCCAGGGGAAGGAGTGGTCCTTTTCAGCATCCTGGGTGGGCACTGATCAGGCAAAGCTAATGAAACCTCTAGTCAGGGGCTGAATGTAAATGTGTATGTGTGAGTGTGAGTGTGAGTGAGTGTGTGTGTGTGTGTGTGTGTGTGTGTGTGTGTATGTGTTTGAATCAAACCTGTAGCCCCAGTGGGGAGAAGAAGGGGAGGGAGAAGCAGGCCTCTGCCTTGCCAGCTCGCTCCAGTGTGACCTCCTGCACCGTCTCCACCACCTCCATCACCACATACAGGTTCTCGCCTTGATCTCGAACCTCTTTCAGGAATGGGTGATCTGCTGCCAGCTTCCTGTGGCAGGAGAAACATAAGGGAACCCGTTCAGAGCTTCTTCCTGCCTGTGCCATGCTCTCCTCTTTTCTTCTGTCATTCCCAGGAGCTAGACATTGTGGTGGCAGAGAAGGAGTGAGGACTCTGGACCAGGGCTGAGGGCAAAACCCAGATCTCCTGTTTACTGGCAGGGCAGCGTCTCTGAGTCTTAGTTGCCTCATCTCTGAAATGAGTATAATGATGCTGACATCCTGGGTTGCTCAGAGATAAACTGGGTAATTATCTGGGCCAGCACCTTGCTGGGAATAGGGCTTCTCAGGTGCTTCTTACCCCCTTTTCCTCTGGTTCGGGGGTAGATGCTTCCCTGTTTCCTCCCCATTCATCTCTCTGGAACCCTTCCTCTCCATGTCTTATGCTCTCTTGTTAACACCAGTTTCTCTTCTCCACTTGCTCCTTCTGTCTGCTTCCATATATACACGTGTCTGGATCCTAACAAATTTGTTTGCTTTGATCATGCTGCTCTCTCAAATTACTACCCTATTTTCCCCCTCATTTCATTGGCAAATATTTCAAAAGATATGCCCACCCTTACTCCTAAATTCTTCTTCTTTTTTTTTTTAGATTCTCACTCATTCTGTGGCCTAGACTGGAGTGCAGTGGCATGATCTTGGCTCACTGCCACCTCTGCCTCCCGGGTTCAAGTGATTCTCTTGCCTCAGCCTCCTGAATAGCTGGGATTATGGATGTGGGCCACCGTGCTCAGTCCACCTAAATTCTCTTTCTTTCTTTTTCTTTTCTTCTTTCTCTCTTGCTTGCTTGCCTACCTTCCTTCCTTCCTTTCTTTCTTTCTTAGATGGAGTCTTGCTGTGTCGCCAGGCTGGAATCCAGGGTCGTGATCTTGGCTCACTCCAGCCTCAGCCTTCCGAGTAACTGGGGCTCCAGGAGCATGCCACCATGCCTGGCTACTTTTTTGTATCTTTAGTAGAGACAGGGCTTCACCATGTTAGCCAGGATGGTCTCGATCTCCTGACCTTGTGATCCGCCTGCCTCGGCCTCCCAGGATTACAGGTGTGAGCCAGTGCACCTGGCCCTAGTCTGCCTACATGCTTTATAATTTGCCTTCTATTTCTTTCTCAGCTGAGATTACAATGACCTCTTACCTAGTCAGTCTCAATGACCTTGCCTAACTCTGCAATACTCAATCCTGCTGTCCAACCCTCAGAGCGACGCTGGCTTCCCTTGGCTTCCAGTCACGCTGTACCGCTCTGGTTCAACTCCAGTGCTTCTAGCTTCTAAATCTTACCCATTCTGTCTGCACCTCATTTTCCATTTTATTTGGTTCTCTACAATTTTATGTTCTGTAAGATTCTGTTCTCAGTCCTGTTTTCTCAACTCCCTCTGAAATGCCCAACTCACTCCTATAGTGTTTTCTTTCTTTCTTTTTTAAGGTCTCACTCTGTTGCCCAGGCTGAAGTGCAGTGGCTCGATCGTAACTCACTGCAGCCTTGAACTCCTGGGCTCAAGTGATCTTCTTGCCTCAACCTCCTCAGTAGCTAGGACTATAGGCACACCACCATGCCCGGCTAATATTTGCATTTTTTTTTTTTAGAGATGAGGGTTTCATTATCCTGCCTAGGCTGGTTCGAACTCCTGGGCTCAAGGAGTTCTCCTGCCTCAGCTACCCAAAGTGCTGGGATGATAGGAGTGAACCTCCTTCCTTGGCCCCTATAGTTTTACTCTTTATATAGCTGATGACCCCGTGTCTATCTTCACCTTGACCTGTCTCCTGAGCTCACGGGCCTTATTTCCAGCCACCTGGTAAACATTCTCAGCTGATGTCTCAGCAGAGCCAGAAACTCAAAACATCCAAAAGGAACTCACAATCTCCAAATTACCACTAACCTCTGTCTTCCTGTTTGTCACTGGTAATGGTATCTTTAATGTCCTGGAACATCACAACCTGAGTCAAATCTCACAGTCACCTTTGACAAAACCCTTTCCGTCATCCTGCAGTCAGCTACCAAGCCCAGGCCATTCTATTGCCCTTGCTAATATGCCCTGCTCCATTCCTTCCTCTTCACTCCTATTGCCCTTCCTCAGCTCGGGTCTTCAGTTTACACCGCTCATGGGATAGAATCAACAGTGTCTTGGCTGGGCGCGGCGACTCACACCTGTAATCCCAGCACTTTGGGAAGCCGAGGTGGGTGGATCACCTGAGGTCAGGAGTTTAAGACCAGCCTGGCTAACGTGCTGAAACCCCGTGTCTTCCAAAAATACAAAAATATGCTGGGTGTGGTGACAGGCATTTGCAATTCCAGCTACTCTGGAGGCTGAGGCAGGAGATTCGCTTGAACCAGGGAGGCGGAGGTTATGGTGAGCCAAGATTGCACCACTGTGCTCTGGCCTGGGTGACAGGGCAACACTCTGTCTCAAAAAAAAAAAAAAAAAAAAAGAACAGTATCTTTCCTGGTCTGACTGCTTCAAACCACTGTCTTCTTCCTCCGTCTGACACACTTCCTCCATCTGGCTGGATTAGTCATGGGACACATCCGAGCATTTTCAGGGTCTTCCTGATGCCTACAGAACAATTCAATCTCCTGGACCTGCCACTTGGCTCCTCCGTAGTTTGGGTTCATCCTGCATTTCCTGCTCGTTCTACTCACACCTCATCTGTCCCTGCCCTGCTGGCCCCTGGTGGTTGAGATTGCTCACCTGTGTGCCTTCATAATACCCTTCTCCCAGCCCTGCATGCCCAATTTCTGCTCATCTTTCAAGGCCCAGAACAGAGGCTGCCATGTCTATGAGATCTTCCCTTCTTTCTCCAGCCAGAAGTCCCTTTGACCTGCCACAAGACTCGGTCAAACCATTCCTACAGCACTAACCACTTCCTGGCTTGGATTATAACTATAATTACTGTGGCACAGGTGTGTTTGTTTGTTTGTTTGTTTGTTTTTGAGATGGACTCTTGCTCTGTTACCCAGGCTGGAGCGCAGGGGCACAATCTTGGTTCACTGCAACCTCTGCCTCCCTGGTTCGAGCAATTCTTCTGTCTCAGCCTCTTGAGTAGCTAGGATTACAGGTACGTGCCACCATGCCCGGTTAATTTTCGTATTTTTAGTAGAGACGGGATTTCACCATGTTGGTCAGGCTGGTCTTGAACTCCTGACCTCGTGATCCACCTGCCTCAGCCTCCCAAAGTGCTGGGATTTCACGTGTGAGCCACTGCACCTGGCCTGCACAGATTTTTTAAATTTTCACCTTCCTAGATTGCAAGGTTCTTGGACAAAGATGTTCTAGGTGCACTGAAGCCCGTAGTAGAGTGCTTTACTATATAATACTTGCTGGATGACTACCCCAGCCCTTCCTTCTGGCCTTGTCAGTCCTTACCTCCGTCTTTCAACCACTACTTAACTACTTAAAAGCCAGTTCCCATGTCAAGCCAAACATCCATGGTGCCCAGCATCAAGGTGGCACCTGCCACACCCTTGTGCTGTGGGGCAGCATTCCCAAGGGCGTGTCTAGTGTGTATTGGGGCCAGGGAGGAGGCTTCATTTATGGGAGCAGAACACAGTGCTCAGGCCTCAGCTGGGGACAGTTAAGACCCATCCCTCCTCTTTCTAGTGTATCGCATAATCTTAGAGTTAGAAGGAGCCTTAGAGATGATCATCCAATCCCATCATTTTGCAGAAAAAAAACTGAGGTCCCAAGAAAAGTGACTTTTCCAAGATCACACAGCAAGCTGGTGTGGACGTAGTCCTCCCTGCGCGTGTGTGATAGTGGGGAGGTGGTCCTGGAGGCAGTGGCAGACCTGGAGGTGTGACTAGGAAATGGCCCAGATGCAGCCATGGGCCGGAAGGGTTGCCTTCAAGAGCGCTCATGTGGTGACCACATTGGCAAAGGTCAGTGCAAGGATCTTACCTTTCAACTCAAGGCCCAAAGCACCCTTTCCACACACTGCCCCACCCACCTCCCAGTCGCCCCTGGGTCCTGCCCACTCTCACCTCTCCTGCTGCAAGGTCTCCAGGGCCTTGGGAGCCACACTGAGTGTCTGGACCTCCAGAGTGCTGTTCTGCGAGAGCCCTGCCGTTCCCTTCACCTTCACCGTCTTTGGTACATCCACTTCTCCCTCCACTCGGGTGTCCAGCATATTCTTAAAGCCAAAATTCCCAGTGTCTGTTGGGTCTGCAGGAGGGAAAAGATGAAAGGGGCTGGGCTGGCTGGGCACGGTAACTCACGCCTATAATCCCAGCATTTTGGGAGACCAAGATGGAAGGATTGCTTGAGCCCAGAAGTTTGAGACCAGCCTGGGCAACAAAGCAAGACCCTGTCTCTATAAAAACAAACAAGTAAATAAATAAAAGAGACTGAGTAGGCCAGGCATGGTGGCTCACACCTGCAATCCCAGTACTTTGAGAGGCTGAGGGAGGTGGATCACCTGAGGTCAGGAGTTTGAGACCAGCCTGGCCAACATGGCAAAACCCCATCTCTACTAAAAATACAAAAATTAGCTAGAGGTGATGACAGGTGCCTTTAATCTCAGCTACTTGGGAGGCCGAGGCAGGAGAATCGCTTGACCTCGGAAGGTGGAGGTTGCAGTGAGCCTAGATTGTGCCACTGCACTCAACCTGGGGGATAGAGTGAGACTCTGCCTCAAAAAAAAAAAAAACAAACAAACACAAACAAAAAAAAACAGGCTAAGCTGAGAGGTACCCCGACTCCTGGCCGCCTCAGCTCCAGATGATAGCTTTGGGCTGGATGATGTCTAACCACCTCTGGCCAGAGGGAGCTTTGAGGTCCTCCTTACAGACCAGGTGCCCAGCCCCTGCCCCTCAGCATCCCTCCGTTCCCGGCCCTGCTCAAGGCTGACCTGAAGGTGAGCTGCCGGGTTCAAGCACATCCAGGAGTGTGTAGTCGGTGCGGACATACCGGGCCCCCCAGAAGAGTGTGCTCTTCCTCTTCCTCAGCACCAGGCAGAAGGGATGGAAGCGCTTGAAGTCGATGAGGCTGTCAAGGGGTGTCAGGTCCCCTCGAGGGTTCAGCTGTCTGGTGAGGGCCCGGGTGACATTTTCAAACATGGTCATGGTCTCTGTGGAGATGGGGAGACAGGAGAGTGTCAAGGCGGCTGCCGAGGAGCCCGGGACGTGGGCTGGGCCCCTGCGGAGATGCCTGGATTGTCTCCTGCCATAGCTGGAAAGAACCAAGAGAGTCTGCCTTTTATGATGGCGAACCTAGGACTGGCGAGTTGAAACAGTTGCCTCAAAGTTCCATAGATGGCCAGCAAAGCCACACGTCCCTTTTCTTTGTCAAGGGCCCTTTTCTCACTCCACGCTCATTTTCTTCACTGCCAGGGAGCCCAGCTGGAGCATTTCTTTCCTCTTTCTCTCTTTCCCTCTCCCTTTTCCTCTGCCCCCTTCCCCTCCCGCTCTCCTCCCCTCCCTTCCCCTCCTCTTCCCTTCTCTTGTCTTCCGAGACAGGGTCTTACTCTGTTGCCCAGGCTGGAGGGCAGTGGCGTGATCACAGCTCACTGCAGCCTTGACCACCAAGGCTTGATCAGTCCTCCCGCTTCAGCCTCCTGAGTAGCTGAGACTGCAGTCATACACTTGGCTAATTTTTAAAATGCTTTTTTTTTTTGTAAATTAAAATTTTTTTTTTTTTTTTGAGACGGAGTTTCGCCCTTGTTACCCAGGCTGGAATGCAATGGCGCGATCTCGGCTCACCGCAACCTCCGCCTCCTGGGCTCAGGCAATTCTCCTGCCTCAGCCTCCTGAGTAGCTGGGATTACAGGCACGCGCCACCATGCCCAGCTAATTTTTTGCACTTTTAGTAGAGACGGGGTTTCACCATGTTGACCAGGATGGTCTCGATCTCTCGACCTTGTGATCCACCCGCCTCGGCCTCCCGAAGTGCTGGGATTACAGGCTTGAGCCACCGCGCCCGGCTGTTGTTGTTGTTTTATTATGTTTCCCAGGCTGGTCTCAAACTCCTGGCTCAAGTGATCCTCCCACCTCGGCCTCCTGAAGTGCTGGGATGACAGGTGTGAGCCACTGTGCCTTGTCTAGAGCGTTTATTTAGCAATGGAAGTAACGCTTCCTCACTCCAGAGACTAGCAATAGCCAGGGTCTGAGGACACAGGGGAGGGAGGGAGGCGCTGCTGGCAGCGAAGACCTGGGCGGCCGAGCTGTTCACCTGCCCCAGTTGCCCCCTCTGTGTGTGGGGGACACTTCCCTGCCCCGGGTCTTCCCTCGCGTGTGCCTCCCAGCTCACAGGTATGAGTAGAAACACTCTCCTCTCACAGCCCCTGGGATGCCTGCATCCGGACTTTTTTTTCTTCTTTTGAGACAGAGTCTCACTGTCGCCCAGGCTGGAGTGCAGTTGTGCCATCTCTGCTCTGCAACCTCCACCTCTCGGATTCAAGTGATTCTCCTGCCTCAGCCTCCCAAGTAGCTGGGACTACAGGCATGTACTTCCATGCCTGGCTAATTTTTGGATTTTTAATGGAGACGGGGTTTCATCACGTTGGGCATGCTGATCTCAAACTCCTGATCTTAAGTGATCCGCCCTCCTTGGCCTCCCAAAGTGCTGGGATTACAGGCGTGAGCCCCTGCACCTGGCCAGGATCCAGCCATTTCGATGTTCTTTCCCTCTGCCCTCTCTGCTTACAATAATACCCCCTTCCGAATCTGAACAACCCCTAGTTGTCCTCTAACACGCAATTCAGGTCACTTTCTGTGACCTCTTCCCTCACTCCTCCAGCCAGCTGGTGACTGTACCTGTGTTCCCAAAGCGCTCTGCCGAACACCTGCCCTTCCTGTTGTTACGATCTGCTCACCTGACCCTCTCACCTCCTCACCTGTGACTTCCCAGAGGGCAGGAAATGGGCCTTAGTCACCTCTACAGCAGCAGCAGCAGCAGCAGCAAATACCACTCCTGGCACGGAGTTGGAGCGTGGCAAGTGTGTGTGGAAAGAACCAACGAGTATGGCCCCGAGAGACGTGAGAGGACCCTGGAGAATGTGGGGCCCATGAAAGCCTGAGGGTCAACATTGTTTATTTTTTTTTTTTTGGACACGGAATTTCATTCTTGTTGCCCAGGCTGGAGTGCAATGGCGCAGTCTCGGCTCGCCATCCACCTCCTGGGTTCAAGTGATTCTCCTGACTCAGCCTCTCAAGTAGCTGGGATTATAGGCACCTGCCACCATGCCTGGCTATTTTTGTGTTTTCAGTAGAGACGGTGTTTCTCTATGTTGGTCAGGCTGGTCTCGAACTCCTGACCTCAGGTGATCCACCTGCCTCAGCCTCCCAAAGTGCTAGGCTTACAGGTGTGAGCCACTGCACCCAGGCTGAGGATCAACATCTTAAGTCTCTGTCTTTGAAGTTTGAGTCCAGGTGCTCTGGCCGATTGGCACACCCGAGTTATCCCTGTGGGTGGAAGAGGCCACACCAGCTGGCACGGAGGCACCCCACATCCACGGCAGCAGGGGACCGGAAGCACGGTACAGGTATGTGGGGCTGTTCTGCCAGCTTTGAGGAGCTTTTTCTTTTCTTTTTTTAATCCTCATTCCTGGGAAGGCCAGAACGGGGCAGGACAACCTCCTGGCGCCATCTGGGTGCACCTGGGAAGAGCTTGGGCAACGGCAGCCTCCTCTTCACCAGACAGATGCCCACAGGCCTGCCTCTCCCATCCCTTCCAAGGCCTATCGGCATACTTATCCCACTGGACTCTAGGGGAGCTCCATGCCCTTCTTGGTCCACCCATCTCCCTGTGTCCCAAGGACACCCCTGCCTCTCCTGCTGTCATCAAGTCCTTACCTGGGAGGAGGGCTGGGTCCTGTCCGGCAGCTGGGTCTCGGGTGAGGGCCTAGGGCTTGCTTGGTCCGTAGGTTGAGAGGATGACCGTCCCTTGCCAGGACAGGCTGCTTTATGCAGGGTCAGAGGCTTCCAGGGACCCCGCCTGCCCTAGTGACCCCACCCCCGTCCCGCTCCACTTCCGGGAGAACAGCATCAACCTGTTCCACGTGTGCCCTGGCCTCCTGAGGGCTGAGGGGGTGGATGGGGAGCTGCCAGGCAGGTGCCAGCGTGGGTGGGGGTAGCCAAGGCTGATAGAGAGGCGGCAGCTGGAGTTTGGCTTGTGGGCTGAGAGGAGAGGAAGGCAGGTGCCTTTGGGAGGGGTGCAGAGGGAGGCAGTGTGTGTGTGTGTGTGTGTGTGTGTGTGAGAGAGAGAGAGAGAGAGAGTGTGAGTGACCAGGGATGGCGTCTCTGTTCTGTCATCATCACGGTCATTGGGGAGCATCTCGGATTCATGGCAGGGTCTGCGGGTGTGACACAGGGATGAGGAGTACTGTCTGTCCACGCACCCCAGCAGAGAGCAGAGCATCTGCCGTACCGCCCTCCAGCCCTGCGCGTGTCAGCTGTGTTGCGTGGCCTCACTCCATTTGTTTTAGCTGCATGGACATATCTCTGGTACCGCTAGAAGCAGATGTCTGAGTAGGCAGAGAAGGAGTTAGACCAAATGGTTTTCTGTTATTGAATGCTCCTCGTCTCTGCTCCTCACGGAATGTTGTATACACACATACGAATATCTGTAGGCAGAGGCACGGCGATATTCGTGGAAAAGCCCCGGGTGCTTGTCGTGGGCTTTCAGATGTCGCATGAGAGGTCACTCAGGTCCTTCTCTTAGCTTAAATCTCTGCCTAGAAGGGATTTTAAAGGAATTTCAAATTTTGCCTACACGGCCACATCCCTAGAGGACAGAATAAGGGACTTAGAAGCAAGGCCCTGATAGTGTTGGGCTATGTGGCCGTGCATGTGTGCAGGTATAACCGGACACACCTGAGCCTTTCTGTTCCCACCTGGAGGCCCCTCTCAGTATCACTCATCGAAAAAGAAACGCAACCCTGAATGCCGTGCAGAGTAAATTCCATGTTTACTGAAGGTTTTCGTGAGGGGCTGGTGGTGAATGAGACTAGACCATTCCACACTCAGGAAAACTCCCTAAAAGTGTCATCACTCCACTTGTGTCCCCAAAGTCTCATCCAATGACAGATGCTCCCAAATATTTCTTCTCTACGTCTCTACGTCTTAAAAAAGAACAAAACCAAGCCTTGCCCCTGCCTCTGTGCTCACTCTCTTTTTGTTTACATCCCTTCTTCTCCACCCTACGCCTTTTTAAGACAGGGCCTCGCTCTGCCACCCAGGCTGGAGTGCAGTGGTGCGATCATGGCTCACTGCAGCCATCCGTTACTTCATCCTCCTTCCACAGCTCCAGCCCTACAGGGTCCTGTGAGCCCCTCTCTGCTGGTGTGGAGACGAGAAACTGTGGAAATAAAAGACACAAGACACCAAGAAAGAGAAAAAAGAGTTTGGGCCCAGGGGTCCACTGCCAACCAAGGCACGGAGTCCTTTGGCCCCGAGTGCCTGGACGCTCGGACTTTTACTGAGTACAGAGCAGGGGGAAGGGTAGGTAGGGTGAGGTAATGGTGGTCAGTGAATCACGTGTCTTGGAGATAGGGGTCCCAGGACTTTCAAGTAGCCAAGGCGAGGAGAAAACCTAATGCGACTTTTTCATACTTGTCAAGAAAGAACAAAGACATTAAGATTTATGTTACTATTACTGATTTTATCTCTTAAGAGAAGGAGGGGCCAGGTGCAGAGGCAGAGCGTGAGAGTGGATATGGAATGTGACCCCTGAAGCGCAGCATCACACAGAGACAGTTAACCCCCCGGATGTCTGTGGGTCTACCTGACAGCCGTCAGGCCTTTCCACAAGAGCTTGGAGAAGTGGAGTTTTCTCCTAACTCCCCCGAGGAAGGAGATGTCTCAGGCATTTTGGACATCTCCTTCCCTCGTGGCTAGACAGCGGGCGCTTTCCCAGCGCTGGTGCTGCCTCACAGCTGAGGCGCCCTCCAGCAGCACTTAGGTGGGCGTGACAGAGGGCTTAGAGCATCTTGCCTTAGGATCGCTTTGTTCACAATGTCACCTCAGTTCCATGCTTCATAACCCAATAATCATTAGTAAGATTAAAAGATTATATTGAATATATATATTTCTGTGATTACATATGAGTATGTGATTATTCATGATTATATATAGGAATAACTATGTAACTATATCTCTAATTCTTTTCTTTCTTTCTTTCTTTTTTTTAAAGACGGGGTTTCACCATGTTGGTCAGGCTGGTCTTGAACTCCCAACCTCAGGTGATCTGCCTATCTTGGCCTCGAAAGTGCTTGGATTACAGGTGTGAGCCACCATGCCCGGCCCTCTCTAATTCTTTTCTAATTCTGTATTCATATGGGAACAGGCTGAGGCTTCAGATCCTTGCCTTGGCACTTGCGAAGTCTCCCACAGGGTCTCCCACCCACACTGAGGCAGGAGAATCACTTGAACCCAGGAGGTGGAGGTTGCAGTGAGCCGAGATTGTGCTACTGCACTCCAGCCTGGATGGCAGAGCGAGACTCCATCTCAAAAGAAAAAAAGGTTATAGTCAGTCATCTGGTCCCTATCACAATACATATTTACATAGAAACTTGTATGTGTTATATCCTTTTCATCTCTCTCTGTTTTCCTGGTTCTTCCTGGATTTCCACCTCTTCCTCCCTGTATCTCTTGGCCCTACACTGATGTGACACCTGCATTTCAGCATATAGTCCTGAGGCTGTGCAGTCTCCTATGCCTTAATCAGCTCCGGGGAAGGCGGTCCCACTCCCACCCTCTCACCAGCTTGGCATTGCCTCGGTTAGACTTTTGGGAGTTTCTTTCCAGTGACGACCCTCCTCCCATGGGCTGCAGGCCAAGTTTCCTAGTCTAGTGGGTTCTGCCAAGATCTGGGGAACAGTGGCTTTGAAAAGCCACACATGGCTCTGCTCTCCCCAAGGACCCGCAAGCCAGCTCTCTGACCAGGATGTCTTGCTTCTTTCATTTCTCCTGCCTTCACTCTGATCTCAGAGCACTCTGCTCGGCCTGTCCTCACATTCCTGGTGTCCTCCCTACCCTGCCTGCACCGCATTGCCCCATTCCCGCAGATGGCCTAATGATGTTCCAAGCAGGGGGCTTGGTGGGTTCCAGGCAGGGAGGAGATACATGGGCAGGTAGGGTCAACCAGGTTGAAGCTTCAGTGCTTTTGGAATGAAAATATCCACATGTAGCCTTGTCTTGGTGCTGCTCCTTCCTCCCATCCAGGGTGCCCTGACTCTCTCTCTCTCTCTCTCTCTCTCTCTCCCCCCCCTTCCTTCCTTCTTTCTTCCTTTCCTTTCCTTTCTTTTCTTTTTTTGAGATGGAGTCTCGCTGTGTCCCAGGCTGGAGTGCAGTGGCACAATCTCGGCTCACTGCAACCTCTGCCTCCTGGGTTCAAGAGATTTTCCTACCTAACCCTCCCAAGTAGCTGGGATTACAGGTACATGCCACCGCTCCCAACTAATTTTTGTATTTTTGGTAGAGACGGGGTTTCACCATGTTGGCCAGGCTGGTCTTGAACTCTTGACCTCAGGTGATTCACCCGCCTTGGCCTCAGAAAGTGTTGGGATTACAGGTGTGAGCCACCGCACCTGGCTACCTTTTTTTCTTTTTCTTTTACATTTTTGAGAGAGGGTCTCACTCTATTGCCCAGGCTGGAGTGTAGTGGTGCAATCATAGCTCACTGCAGCCTTGACTTCCTGGGCTTACGGGATTCTCTAATCTCAGCACCCCTTCCCTGCTCCCAGTAGCTGGGACTACAGGCATGCATCACCATGCATAGCAAAGTTTTTTTTTTGTTTTTGAGATGGAGTCTTACTCTTGTCGCCCAGGCTGGAGTGCAAAGGCGTGATCTCGGCTCACTGCAACCTCCACCTCCCGGGTTCAAGTGATTCTCCTGCCTTAGTCTCCCGAATAGCTGTGATTACAAGCATGCACCACCAGGCCTGGCTATTTTTTTGTATTTTTAGTAGAGACGGGGTTTCACTATGTTGGCCAGGCTGGTCTGGAACTCCTGACCTCAGGTGATCTGCCCTCCTTGGCCTCCCAAAGTGTTGGGATTACAGGCATGGGCCACCACACCTGGCCATACCTGGCTAAGTTTTAAATTTTGTGTAGAGAAAGAGGTCTTCCTATGTTGCTCAGGCTGGTCTTGAACTCCTGGGCTCAAGCAGTCTTCCTGCCTCAGTCTCCCAAAGCGCTGGGGTTACAGGCGTGAGCCACTGCGCCTGGCCTGTGGCAGAATTTAAGTTGCACTGATGGATATTTAAATTAGACTGCCTTGTAAGATCTCTTCAAGGCCAATTAAAAGAGAATGCTGAAGCAGGAGGCCATGGGGTGCGTGCTGCTCAGGCAGGTGGTAAACTTTGCTCTCTACCTCCCTCTGGTGGTCAATCAAGGTAATGATGGACAATAATCACCCCTTATTTGGGGACCAAGCTTGTGACTGTGGGGTTGCTAGGAGATAGGGATGAGGAGAGGGAATTGACTTAGGAGAGGAAGCCCCAGCCACCTGCCCCTTGGGCCCCTTCCTGTCTCTCTGACGTATAGAGTGCACTGCAGACAGACACCACAATGTGGCAGAGCGTTGTTTCCTTACTCTTTTTTCCTTATTTTCCCTTTTTTTTTTTTTTTTTTTTTTGTTGTTGTTGTTGTTTTGTTTGAGATGGAGTTTTGTTCTTGTCGTCCAGGCTGAAGTGCAATCTTGGCTTACTGTAACCTCTGCCTCCCGGGTTCAAGTGATTCTCCTGCCTCAGCCTCCCTAGTAGTAGGGATTACAGGCGCCCACCACCCACACCCAGCTAATTGTTGCATTTTCAGTAGAGATGGGGTTTCACTGTGTTGGCTACGCTGGTCTTGAACTCCTGACCTCAGGTGATCCACTCACCTCGGCCTTCCAAAGTGTTGAGATTACTGGCGAGAGCCACCGTGCCTAGCCGCTTCTCCGTATTTTCACCAGCTCCCCCAGGCTTGTCCTCAAGCCCCACCCTGCCTTCCCTAGTCATGGGCGGGCAGG